CTCATCAGCCTAATTTTTGTCAACACCAAAATTTTTCTGTTTGGTTCATATAAAGGGATCATCACTGCTTTGCAATGAGTAACCCCGTAAAGTGGATAAGCTCTGATACGGTCGACTGGTAACGGATTTTGAAATCAAAAAAACAGTGACAAGAACTAATTACCACACCCCACTCAGGAGTTGACGTCCAGCTCGATTTCCATCTAGTCAGAGATCTCCGAGATGTCATCCAGTTCAGCATTGCGAGCATGTTGGGCAAGAGTCTGCGTGGTGATGGATAAATGGCTATAGCAAGGTGGGCCAGGTCACTTGCCGTAAAAAGCTGAATGGGATTGGCATTGGGATCTGCTGGAGGAGTTTCGAGCTTCTCAAGGATCGGTGCATTGTATTCTCTGTCCGACTGGAGGATGTTGTGGAGCAGAGAAGCCAACTGGTGGATCTGACTTGGAATCGGCACATGGCCCGTCTCTACTGTCACAGACGCTAGGTACTGCTTAGGGTATGTGGGGGGGGACCTTTCCATTTTCCTTTTTAAGGTGGGGTTGCCTACTCCTGTCCAATCCTGATCCTGGCTTTGGAGACCAAGAATGCCTAAACAAGCCTAAACAGTGCATCGCGCCATTTTATAGGGTGCACAGCCGCATGGTCAGGGCAGGGTTTTACCTGGGACGGCCGGAGGTATATTAAAAACATAAAAGCTGGTTCACATTTTAGGTTTTGCCACCTTGATCCATCGCAATCTGATCCCGTTGTAGCGGATAGGTGCAAAGCTTATTCAATTAGCTTCAAAATGGTCGATTTAAGCTTCCAAATCGTCGATTTTAGCTTCAAAATCGTCGATTCTAGCTTCAAAAACATCGAATTTCGGTTCAGAACGGTCGATTTTAATTACGCAAGAATCGCTTCCACGACTGCCTCCCTCCCCCCTCCTAAATCCTATACCTTGTAGCCAGGTTGTAGCGGATAGGTGCAAAGCTATTTAATGAAAGCGGTGGGGTGGGTGGAAATACACGGTGCTAGGGCGACGTTAGGGCGACATTAGGGCGTCTGTAGGGCCTTTCCTGCAGCTAAATGCCGCATCACATGATGTGGCAATCCTCCAGGGGCCAACAACAGGGCACAACCGACCAGATTGTTTTTTCTTGTACCCAGCTTGTACTTTATTCTTTCCAGAGGCTATTCCTTTTCATTCCTGTTCATTTTTCTTTTTTGTTTTGGGACTTACAAACCTTAAACACAATGAAATGCATAGAAGATTTCTTTCGCATTCCTATGCGTTTCATTGCTTTTAAGGTTTGTGAGTCCCAAGACATGATGGAAAAATGAAAAGGAATAGCTCTGGAAAGAAAAAGGTACGGAAACCTGTAGAAATGCTCCACGGACGGTCCCATTGCTTAGGGCCTCCGGCCCTAAGCGATGGAGAGGCCCCCAGAGCGAGAAACAAGCATGTCTCTTGCTCTGGGAAGCGTCCCATTGCTTAGGGCCTCCGGCCCTAAGCGATGGGGATGCTTCCGCCCAAAAACCCATCCAATCGATTGTGCAGTGTTGTTATACCCCTTGAAGGATTGCCACATCATGCGATGCGGCATTTAGCTGCAGGACCCTTCATTAAATAAGCTTTTTATTGGTTGGTGGATAAGTCTATATATATCAAAATATCTACCGCCAAACTAACGCAAAACTAGCGCTTAGGTGCAGAGATTGATTTTCAATGCGTATACGCGTGACTCCGCCTTTTAACGAAATTGTAAATTCGTCATGCAAATTTATTTATGTCCACCTATGATTAGATTTCCTGATTAGCATTTTAGAAAAGTTTCCATATGTGTATCATACAGGGATTAGACAAAATCACCCCTAAGTCATACCTAAAGCCAGCCTAAAGCCTCCCTAAAGCGCTTGCGCGCATGGCAACGCCATTTCAATAAGTCATACCGTCATACCTTAGTTGTCCCTTTGAGGCATTTCACCATGTAAACGCTGCATCAGCTTTAGACCTTCAAACTTGCAGATCGCTCAAATTCAACTCTTTCTTGCCCTGCTGCCTATGCGTTTCACGAGTTTCCTTGGCAGTGGAACAAATCGTTTCCAACGATTTGCTTTGCCCTTCCCTTCCCTTTCTTTCTTCCCTTCTTTTCCATTTCCTTCCATTCCCTTTTCTTTTCTTCCCATCCCTTCCCTGAAGCAAACCAGGGAAAAAACGAGATCAAAATGAGATCAGAAGGCTGGGTCAGCCCTTACCTTTTGGGCCCTGACCTTGCCCGGAACCTGGTGTTAAAACTGCAACGGATAGCACCGCCGGATGGGAAACCCTTGAAAAAAAAGATTTTCCAAAAAATGAACCCCACCGGCGTTTTCTTTTACTAAGGGGGTACCTAGCACAGACGTTTGGTCCTCCATTTCAGATTCCGCGTCTTCTCCATAGGTACCAGTAGTGTTGTCCGCATGGCCGGGCAACTGGTGACGATCTTGCCATGATGATGCCCAAGAGGTATTGTCATCATGAGCATCAGGAATGTTGTAATGGCGACGCCAGTATATGGCGAGGCGAGTAGCCTCAGACCAGCTGTCAATCCATCCATTATGAGAACGAAATCCATTGAAGAAGAAATCCGCTTGACGGTTTCGTTCAACTCCATGTTGGTCTACTTCCGTCACCATCAACCGGCTGGCTTGGCCAGACTGAGGAGGCGGAATGACTTCTTTGAAGATATGAGTGTGAAGCACCCGATGGTTCTGTGACATCTCCGATTGCAACGGATATGTTTCCATTGGAGGCCCTGGTGGATCCGCATGTGGTAAGGGTACAGGTGGGACCAAGGTAGTATAGCCGTATTGGTTTGCTTCTATTGTCGTTCCTGTTTCGGCAAGGCGTTCAGGAGGAGTCGTCGCATATGACCAGCCAGCCCAGGATGAATTTGCATTGGACGATGAAGAAGTAGCGTTGGCCGATGACGAAGCAGCACCGCTTCCATGATGATTCGAATGCAAACGTGGAAAGCTCATTGGGGTTGTGGGGAATCTAAATCAGCAGAAGAAGAGTCCCGTTTCTGCTTGGAACCAGCCTGCTGCTTGGAACCAGCCTGGAACAGGCTCTGCTTGGAACCAGCATGCTGCTTGGAACCAGCTGCTTGGAACCACCAGCCTGGAAGAGGCTATGCTAGGTCAAGTTGGGAGCCTCGGCAATGCTATTGGGAGCCTGACCAAGGCTCTTGAGGCACCTCCAGTGGCCCTTCAAGCAGCTCCACAGGCTGCGCACTGGTACCAGCCCTATGTTGGTGATAAAAGGCCAAGGCCTGACTTTGAGGCTCCAAGGTTTGGGACCAGGGGCTTTGGTTCATCCTGCAGAAGGATGGAAAGAAGGTGGTTACAGAGGAGGGGTGAAGAAACACCTGACCACCTGAAGCCTGTGAAGGCTAAAATGACCAAGGAGGTCAAAACAAAAGATGAAGGAGCTCATCAAGCAAATGCGTGACATTGATGAAGCTTCATCAGAATCAGAGCTGCCTGAGGTCCCAAAGCCTGAGAAGGCTCCAGATACAGACGCTGAAAGCAGCAGTCCTTTTGATTTTAGGGTAGGCGAGGGGAATGCTAAAGCCAGAGATGGCTCAAGAAAAAGGGTGTGGAAGGGAACCCCCAGCAATGCTGCAAAGCTTTCCTTGGTTCCTGAAGAGCCAGCGATGGCTGTAGAGCCAAAAGTTGAGGAGGAGGAAGATGAAGATGAGGACATGGGGGATGGGAAGGAGGAGCCTGCAGAGGCTGGTTAAAAAAAGAAAAAGAAAAAGAGAAGAAAAAGCAAAAGAAATAAGAAAGAGAAAGATTAGTCTGAGGATCCTGGGGATGGCCCTGAAGGCCCAGGAGGAGCCAGTGATGGCTCAAGAGGTTCTGGCCTGGGGCTTCCCTTGGTGGCTGCAACTTGAAAAAGCTAAGGTAGCCAAAAAAAGCCTGCAAAGGCTAGGAGTGAAAGCTTGAGAAAGGCTTAGGAGGTAGCCTGGGAAGGCTGAAGGTAGGCAGCTTGGAAGAGGCTCCCAGCTGCAAACACTGCAGCTCCTGGCACAGACCAGTGAGAGTTATTGAAAAACAGAGCTGCTGCAAAGGGGAAAGGGGTGGGCTGGTTGAAGACCACAAAAAAAATAGGGGCAGTAAGTAAGGGATAGGGAGTACCCACAAAAGCCGTTTGGATGGGGAAGGTTTCCTTTTTGGTTGCTGAGTTTTGCAGAATCTTGCAAAAGCTAAAAAATATAAAGCAATATTTTTCAAATGTGGCTTTCAGACAAAAAAGTCTGAATTTCAGACTTTCAGACTTTTTACTTTATATTTAAGTTATTAATTAAAACTATGAAAATCTAAAGGTCTGAAAGTCTGAAATTCAGACTTTTGGGTTTTTTTTGCTCCCAGAAAATGAAGCTGATCACCAAAAATTCTGCAGCCCTTTGGCACAAACTAGAAAGGGTTTTAGGGATCTAGTCAGACATGAAGCGGCCTGCAGCAATGGTAAAAAAGGAGAAGCCAACTCAAAAAAAAAGGCAAGAGAACAGGAGCCTGCAGAGGCTGAGTTGGGAACTGAGCCTGGAGAGGCTGAGCCTGGAGAGGCTGACAGCCAGCAAGTGGCTGATCAGGAGCCTGCAAAGGCTGCACCTGCAAGTGGCTCCAAGCCTGAAAAGGCTTTGCCAGCAATGGCCACAGAGAAAGCCAAAGCTAAGGCAAAGGCCTTGGCAGCTCCTAGCAAAGCCCAATGGAATGATGTGCATTACACAATGAAGAAGCTTGAGAAAGCTGGCAAGATGGATTTTCCGGAGAAATGGAAGAAAGCTTGCTCGGGAGGTCACCAAACCAAGCGTGAGTTTTACTACCACACATTTCTCCTAGATCCAGAGGCCAGCAAAAAAGAAGTTCATAAGAGTAGCCTGGAAAGGCTTTCGGTGGAATCAACCAAGTTGAAAGGTTGGTTCACCAAATGGCAGCTTGGGGAAATGCAAGGTGCAGTCGCCACCTACCCCATGTTTGAACAGCTCTGCACAGAAGCCTGCAAAGGCTTACCTGAAAGAGATCATGAGAATGAAGCCTGGGCAAGGCTGGGTGTGAAACAATACTATTTCGAACATTTTGAAGCTGAGAAGGAAAGGCATGTGAATGAAAGTACAACTGCGGCCAAGCAAACAGTAGAAGTCTCTGACAGGCAAGATTTCCAAAAGGCAGAGAAGGCCCTCATGGCTGAGCCAGACAATGGCGAAGTGGTTTTTGGAAAGAAAAGCCACAAGGCTGAGGCAGCCGCCAGTGCAGGGGAAGAAAAGCCTGAGGAGGCTTACCAATAAGGGAATAAGAAACGAATAGCAAGCATACTTTTAAGCAGGGTTGGAGTGAGCATCGATCAGTATGTTAGTACAAAAATTGGCATAAACCAGTTTGAAAACACCAGTTGTCTTTGAAAACACCAAATAACATGATGATCAGCACTCGTCTGGAATCGCACGGCTGTGGTGTGTAGTGCCATGACCGGAAACGTTCCGGAGGTCTGTATCGGTCGGGAATTGGACGGCTCCACATGGCTGGGTCGTCACGTGAACGAGATCGATCTGGGTTCATGGAAACATACTAAGCTAAAAGAGCCAGAATGACTAGAAATTATGAAAAAGCAAAACGAAGACAAGGCAAACCATGACAAAGTCACAGACGGTGATCATGGTTGAATCATTTTAAAGGAAGCGAGGCAATGGCGTTTTTTGTCTGCAATCATTTAGTCTTCTGCCTCAGGTTCATGCCGAGGTGCATCAAGTTCAGGTTGATCCGCCATCTGTTTCAAGAGGTTCCATCGAATTTTGCATACCATGGGTCACGACGTAATCTGGAACCAATCGTCTCCCACGACGGTCTCGATTTGGTATCGTTTTTCAGATTGATCAATTCGTTTTTCAGATTGATCAATTCTTGGTCTTCCGCTCCGGTCCAAGGTCGGATGCTTGAGTGGATAGTGCCACGATCTGATTCAACCATTTGAGAGATCCGAAGGGTGGAATGTGGTGTTGTGGATTTGGGTACAGTTGTAGAGGTTGTATTGGCTAGCGATGGTGAATTTGGACGATCAGCTGGTGGGGCAGAAGGAATAGTCGGAAGTGGGACTTCCGATGCAGTCGACGAATGGGCTGGGTTGACTGCTGAAGCGACTTCTTCTTCAGATTCATCCGAATTGAATCCATCATGAGGAACGTCCGTGATGACCGGTAGGTTTACTGGAGGGGATGTTGAGGAGTGTAGCATGACTCCTCCCGATCTGGGCTTCTTCTTTGGTTGTGAATCATCAATATGATTGGATCTTTGTTTGGAGCGGACAGGGACAGGTGTGGTCGTGCGAGTTGGAACATGAGAGCTGACTGGATTCGGAGATGGACCGGAGACTGGTGGTGTATCTGAAACTACATTGGGAGGCATTGGGATGGTGGGTGAGCGACCGTCGTCTTCATGTGAACGGCGTGCAAGGGATAGAGGACGGAAGTTCACCACCATGTGAGTTGGAATGCCCCCGTCAACCACCATGGTTGGTACTGATGAAGGGGCAGGATGGCCGTGGAACCGAACCGGGAACCGGCGAACCGGACCAACCAGAACCGAACCTCTTAGAGGATGGCAGGGGAACAAATGTATGAAGATGTCGCTGAGATTGGTTTGGTCGACCATAACGAGGATAGGGGTCACCCATTTGGTCGTCCCATTCAATGGCCGGTTCAAAGTTAAGGGGAGCATTCCCGCAATGTAGTTCAAGTGCATGATGGCCCGAGCCAAATGATGATGCAGTTCACGACCTTGAGCATGATCCATGATTTGATTTAGGCCGCGAGCAAAACAAGGAAAGGGAGAGCGAGTTTGAGCCAAGCTGGAAAAGGAACCGAGGGAGACAAGAGAAGAAACCGAAACCAAAGAAAACAAACCCCGGAAATTATGAGCAACCGATGAATGTACGGCATCTTTTGCTCGTGCGACTGAAGGTTCTGATGCTGAGTCAAAATTCGAGAAGAAATGGTGTGGAGTTCCTCATTGGGAAAACCAGCCAAAGTGTAAAGATGAATTAGTTGATCAAGTCCTTGTCGAACACGAAAGTCCGGGATCGCACCTTTTACCACACTTGGAGATCTCCGGGAACTTACGAACTTATAAGTTAACTTACGGTGAACTTAACTTAGAGGTATGCTAAGTTCCATCTAAGTGCAACCTAAGTTGGCTAAGATTTTTATATCCTTTTTTCTTCAAAAACATCGTTTGACGCCTTTGCCACGATTATGCGTATTTTTTCCACGACATGAGCCAGAGTTTGCTACGTCAAGACACCAGCCCATATATATGAAGCGACCGAGCCAAACATTGCGGACCAAAAAAGACCATATTTCAGGTTGATAGCAAAACTCACGAGATGATTGGTTTCGTAGAACTTCCATCATGTGCCGCGGACACTGAAAATTTGCTGTGACAACCCGTGGCCACGCGGACAACCTACAATCATGCTCCCATAACACTTCAGTCAAGTATGCAATTTAACCTATGCTTCCGCGGACACAGACCCGCGGACTTCCCAGTTAGCATCTTTTTTCCGTAGACACTCGCGGACACTCGCGGACCGTTCGTGGACATCTAGTCTACCTCCAAAACAGGCTGCGCGAGATCTACGACGATGGCCTGCACATGCTTCCTATAGCCGTTTCTATCCAACTCGCCTCTGGTAAAACTCACACAAGCAGACACTGCACATCGTTGGTCTTATTTTCTTGCTATTGACTAACAATTCCTGCCTCATTCCACTCAACCCTCAAAAACTGGTAAAAGTATAACTTACCTAAGTTCTACATAACTTCATTTCATCCCTTACCAACATCAAAACCTAACTAACTTATAAGTCACTAAGTTAGAGGTTAAGTCAGGTTTGAACTTATGAACGAAGTTAACCATTTAGGAGATTATAACTCAAGTTATAAGTTAACTTAGGTAGTTATAAGTTAGCTTATAAGTCGATAAGTTCCCGGAGATCTCCAAGCAATGTGGCACCGAGATCGAAATCCGCTGAGAAGCACTTTTGGTGGAGAGGCTGAAAAGGGAGACAAAACTTGGGAGATGTTGGTAGGGCCCTGATAGATCAATTCGAACGGTTTTGTCTCAAGCATAAAGCCAAGAAATTCTTGATCAGGTTCAGTTTCAAGGATAATAGGTTTTTGCGAAAGACATGACAGGTTGCCTCATAGGTTGTGTTTCATGTTTGAGACGTTGCTGCACGACCGCAGCGCTTGAGCCTGGGCAGTAAAACGAGCCTTCGTGTCTTGTGTGACTTATAGGGAGTCACTTCTCATTTGACGCCATTGGGATTGGCGAACTACTTTCATCCTTTTTCCTGTTCTACCTCAACAACATCCCATTGGGGGATAGGCCTGTTTGGTGGTGGTCGGAATTGGTGAACCTCCCTGCTCCCGCATTGGTAGCGGAGCAGGTGAGGGGATCCAGGGGGCACTACGGCTGGGAGGTGGCGCATTAGCAACACCTACCCTAGCGACTCAAGGGGTGCGAGAGCACCTGCTGTGGCTCGTGGGGCCGATACTACTTCCTGGACAAGGCCTTTCCTGGACATCGGCGAGGAGAAGCTGCTGCAGCCCGAGTGGTTGCTGGGACTACAAGGGATCGAAGCAGGTCACGATCTCACCGACGAGATCGAAGGTCCCGATCTCCCCGACGAGATCAACGACAAGCCTTCAGCCCTCCTGGGTTTCCTTTGGTGCTGATTGACTTACGACCTGAACGACCTGGTCCTGTTTTCCTCGAGCCTGACCTTGAGCCTGAGGTGAGAGAGGATCTGATAGACCGCAAGGACTTCAGTGACAAGTTGCAGGCGGTGCTCTCGCGCCTTTTGTGGGTTTCTGCTTCCTTGAGATTGGATACCTCAACGGACGGCGGGCAATTGAACGTGGAAGTTTGTCCACTGGGGGTGCCTTGAGGATTGACTTGGATCCGCCGACATCTACTTCGGCTGGTTCGAGATTGCGCTGAGCCCAAGCCTTGTTTTGCAGTTTTCCTTTGGGAGGCTTCACATTGCCGACCACTACATCCTGGACTTTGACATCTGGGGTACTTTTTTGGATTTCTATTTGAACTTTGGACAGTTTGTGTTCATTCGGAACTATTTCAAGGTTCCACAATTCTTCTTTTGCAACTTCTCTGAAGAGATCTTTGTTGCCCAGTTTTGGAAGCGATGTCTGCCTCAGCTGAAAAGCAAGGTGGAATGGAACATGTCCCTGCCTGGGATGGACAAGCCAAAGGATGGCGCCGCTATGTGAAAGAGGTGCAATGGTACATGCTTGGCACAAAGCCCAGCCTTCGGCCTTACTTGGCTAGCAGGTTGATCACGAAGCTGAGCGGTCCTGCACGGCTTTTGGCTATGACATGGCAACTTCAGGAGTTCAATGGACCTGATGGGGTACGAGTTCTCCTATCAAAGCTTTCGAAGAGCCCTTTGGTTCGAAAGAGCTTGCCCAATGCTGCTTCAATCATGGCCCAGTACTTCTCCTTCAAGCGCTACCGAGGTGAAGCCATTGCCAACGTCCTCATTCGGGAAGCCTTGCGCTATGAGGAGTTCCGCGAGTGCTTGATTCGCCTCAAGGAGGAAAAGAATGGTGTTGATCCTGAACGTGATGGTTTTGGACTTCCAACGGTTGATGAGGAGTCTGCCAGCGAGGGTCCTGACTCTGAGGCTCCAACTGCGAATGCAAGCCCAGATTCTTCAGAACGTCGAAAACGCTATGCCCGGATTCCTACGGAAGATCCTGGCCATCTGCAAGCCTCTCCACTGACGAGTGGCGAGATGTTTTGGGCACTACGCAAGGAAAGCTGGACTATGTCTCCATTAGCGATGCTCTCCAGGTGCTCTATGACGAGCAGATGACTGGTGGCACTCGACTTAACCTGGACATCCTCAACAGCCTCTATATCATGGACAACATCTTCAAGCCTACATCGCGGACGAGCACTACGATGATGATTGGTCCTCTATGTCTTCAAGCTCTTCCTGGGATGAGTGGGGCGATGATGGATGGTCGTCCTGGAATGCGGCTCTGACTTGGAGCGAAGACCCATGGTCTTACGACAGCTGGTGGCCTGAAGATGGAGAAGATGAAGCTGATGCCAATGCAGCTCAAGAAGGTGATCCCAATGCCTCAGAAGCCTCTGCAGCAGAAGCTCAAAAGATGGAGCAACTTTTGGCTGATGGTCGCAGTTGGAGTCAAGCTCAACGTGCAACGGCAGCCATGAAGAAAGATCGTGGTTTTGGCCGAGCAGCTTGCTTCATTTGCGGCAGCACACAACATCTTGCTCGAGAATGTCCTGATCGACTTTCTTCTCATGGAGTTTCCAAGTCCAAGGGCAAGGGCAAGAATCGTCTGCAGTACATGGAGGATGACTGGCATGACTGGATCTATGCCATGCAGAAGGGCAAGAGCAAGTCGAAGGGAAAGTCCTACAAGGGCAAGTCCTATGATCCCGGGACAGGGAAAGGGAAAGGAAAGGCACCTGTGAATGCCTATGCGCTGAACCACTATGGTTTGGAGATGGCGCTTCAGACCCAGCACAACGGCCCTGTGGAACATGCCATGCTGGCAACAAAGCAGGTGGCCACTCCGAGGAAGACACAGATCCCTCGTGAGATCCCACCTGGCAGTGGCATGATTGACTCTGGAGCTACATGCTCTGCTGGACCTGAAACCAGTGTTCAGCGGCTGGTGACAAAGATCATGGAGGCCGATGCAGCAGCACAGATCCGCGTCGAGACAAAAGATCAACCTCCTTTTCGTTTTGGTTCTGGCAAATGGGGACAAGCCCTCTACAAGTTGACCGTTTCTTCATCTATTACGGGGAGTACACGCAGTTTTTCATGTTTTGCACTTCCTGATCCAGAAGAACGTCATGAAGATTGGTTTACCATGGACATGCTGGTTCCTGTTTTAGTAGGTATGGACTGGTTGAAAGAAGCTGGAGCAGTTTTGGACTTCAACGATGGTCATTGTTTTCTTCCTTTGATGAATGGTGTGGTTCTCAACCTTCCTCAAAACCAAAAGGGTCACTACATGTTGGATGTTGTCGAATACCTCACAGATGGTCTCCGAAACTCCAAAGGTCATGCTGCAGTACATGTCATGTTGGAAGAACCTGCTGAAAAACCAGAAGTCATCAACGATCACTCCATTGAGTTTTTCCCAGTTCAGTTTTCTGACGTTTTTGTCTCTGAGAATGCAAGCGTTGATGGCAAGTTCAGTTCTTATAGGCGTTCAAGGCTGCCGTTTGCCAGGCCTCAAACCCTCCAAACCCTCCAAAAGTCCGCCCAGCTCCGCAGGAAAAGGTACCCCAACAAGCCCAACACGCGCCACTCCCGCACGCAAAAGCCACCACAAGGCCACAGCAATGGCTGAAGGGCACCTCCCGGCCACAGCAATGGCTCAAGGGCACCCCCCGGCCGCAGCAATGGCTTCTTATATAGGCGTTCAAGGCTGCCGTTTGCCAGGCCTCAAACCCTCCAAAAGTCCGCCCAGCTCCGCGCGGAAAAGGTACCCCAACAAGCCCAACACGCGCCACTCCCGCACGCAAAAGCCACCACAAGGCCACAGCAATGGCTGAAGGGCACCCCCCGGCCGCAGCAATGGGTATAAGGGCCTCTTATAGGCGTTCAAGGCTCCCGTTTGCCAGGCCTCAAACGCTCCAAACCCTCCAAAGGTCCGCCCAGCTCCGCAGGGAACAGGTACCCCATCAAGCCTTCGAGTACATGGTGAATCGACGGATGAAGCTGTCCTCCAACAGCAGTGTTCGGCTCATGGGTAACCGTTTGCCCTTCGCTTCAACCCCGACAACTTCCTCTCCAAGTAGCCATGCCGAAGGACAAGGACAAGAGCGACATGCAGCCTCCGGACGAATCTCGTCGGATGGAGGGAAATCCTCGAGACCCACGGCATCAACGAAGCCAGTGGCCTTGCAAGGGAACTCATGTCCCAAGCAAGGAGATGAGCAACAGGTACGGCATCTGGGTCAACTGCCTCCAGTGCGGGTACCGTCTATGGTACAAGCCTCGAGTTGGCAGTCCGGCCAACTCCATGGTGACGATGAATGGCACCAACGTGAAGCGAGCTTTGGACGAACTACAAGGTCTTCTACCTCCTCCAGCAATGCCTACCAGAAGAGCTGGTGCGCGCGATGATCGAGAAGGTGGTGGCCGAGGAGCGCATCAAGACCATGCTGATGGACTTCGAGAAGACCATGCAGAAGAACGTGGAGAAGATCAACAAGGCCAAATCGGCCGCGACAGCCGCAAAGGCAAAAGGGTATGCTTCTCCGATCCAAAGACCTCGAACTCCAACACCAGAGCCTGGCCCTTCTCCTGCGTCAAGCGGATGGCAACAAGTCTCTCCCAACAGGATGGACCTCAACATGGCCTTCGAACACCTGTGAGCGGAGGAGAAGGAGCGCCTCATGCAGCTTGCGGCAGAACGGGCAATTCAGCCGGTGATCAATGTGAACATCAGCTCGGACACGGAGCTGGAGCCTGTGCACGGGGAGCAGCAGCAGTGAAGGATGCAACCTTCAAGATGCCTCTGCGTGTGGGCAAAGGCGTGATGATGATGGCTGCTGCTCTTTGTGACCAACTTCACTCTGAGATTGCCCAGGTAGTCTACCAGAAACCTCCAATGCTTTGGGAAATGTTCTGCAGTCCTGACAGTGAGCTGACCAATCAAGCTCTCAAAGCTGGCTTGTGCGCCTACCGCATCAACTTGGCGGGCGGCTTCGACCTGTACCGCAAGAACACCTATGATGGCTTACGTCAACTTCGACGTCGCCACAAGGCCAAGAAGTTTTGGATCAGCACTCCCTGCACCTTCTACTGTGATTGGACAGACCTCAACTATCACAATCGACGTGAAGTTCTTTTTGAACGACGTCGCAGGGAGAAATCAATGCACCTCAAGGTGATGGACTTTGCAGAAGGAGCCTTGCTGGAAGATGAGACTGCCGGGCTCTACTGGGAATGGCCGCGACGCTGCAGAGCTTGGAAGGAGCCTCATGTGGAAGAGTTCAAGACTCGACTCTTCAAGAAGTGTGGCAGGAATCTCTACCTGTGCCAAATCGATGGATGGATGCCGCTATGGCATGAAAGACTCTCATGGCAACATCATCAAGAAGTCCTGGCAGATCTTGACGACTGATGTGGTCTTCTACACGATGTTTCGCTTGAAGGTGTGTCTTCAAAACCATGAACATGCCCAAATACATGGACTTGAAACGACGCGCAGTGCTTACTACCCAACGGCACTTTGCCGAAGTATTGCACAGCTTTGGCGTCGCACTTTGATCCCTGACCGTTGGATCAAGATGCTTTCAACGGCACCTGTGGTGATGGACCCCTTCAAGGAGCTCTGCGATGGTGATGATCATCAAGCCCATCTATGTTCTGGACTTCCTGATGGCGACCTCTTCATGGAAGATGATGAGAACGTGCCTGACGATGCGGTGGTTCCTGCTGAAGTTCAACCTTCTGAACAAGATCAACGAGCCTGGAAAGCGAAGCTGGATCGCTTTCATCGACAAGCTGGACATCCCACTGCTCGCAACATGGCGAGGATGATGGCTGATGCACAACTCCCGAAGTGGAAGGTCAAGATGGCCTTGGAGCATGTTTGCCCTTACTGTCAAGAACAAAAAGGCGGTGGAATTAGCTCCAAGCAGATCAACCCAGCGAGCATGCGAAACCTTCCTGGACCTTGGGAACAAGTTGGCATTGATGTCTCTGAGTGGGAAGTTCCTGGTGAAAACATCAAGGTGAAGTTTGTCATCATGATGGATCTATGCACCAAGTACAAGGTGACCGACGTCCTCTTCAAGAACAAGCATGGCACTATCAAGAATGAGTCCGCCGAGGAGATGATCCGCAGTGTTTCTCTGAGGTGGCTTTCTGACAAGCCCAGACCTCGAATCTTGGTTCCAGACAATGCCAAGAGCCTCACAGCGAAGAAGTTTGTGGATTACATGTCAGACCTTGGCACCGAAGTGATCTACCCACCGGATCATGAATCCTGGGCTCATGGACTTGTTGAACGTGGTCATCAATTGGTGAAAGAGACTGCTTCGAGGATTCATGCTTCCTCTCCTGACCAAGATCCTGAGATCAGCCTTGCACTTGCAACAGCAGCTGTGAACTCCACGGAGTACAACAGGGGATACAGTATCCAATGGGCCTTTGGTCGACAAGCTGAGCTGACTGATGATGAGTTACGTCAGCATCTTCAACTTCCAATTGACCGTCAACAAGATCAATTTGCCCGACTTCTGACCAACCGACAGTCTGCTGAAGAGCATGCGAGAAAAGCGAAGGCAGATCATGTGCTTTCAAGGATCAAGAACACCACTGTGAAGCAGCCTCGTCGCAACTTCGGCCTTGCACAGCCTGTGATGGTTTGGAGGAAGTTTTTGCCTCCGAAGTTCCACAAAGGACCTCGTGGAGGAGTCAAGCGCACTGTGAAACCGAGATGGATTGGACCTGGCAGAGTGGTTCTACGAACTCATTCCTGGACAACAAGAAGGAGATCCAATTCCAATCGTGTGGGTGGTCATTGGCAAGACGCTCTATCGATGTTCTGTCTTCTCTGCGCGACCCTTGTCGGATCGAGAACAAGCCCATGAAGAAGCAACAAGTGCCATCGATCCCAACAAGTGGAAGCAACTCTCCGACATCATTCCCAAGAGGGAGTACGTCGACATCGAGCACGAGCAGCCTGCGGATGGTGAGACCGAGGAGTTTGACCTTCCTGAACATCCACCTGATGCCCGAGCATCTGGAACTTCTTCATCAAGATCCTCTTCACGGTTTCCTGGTGTTCCTTACTATGTGCCTGACTTTTCCAAGGTTGGCCCTACTGGACCTATGCCTCCGATGCGAATCTCTGGGAAGAAGAAGCCCAGCGATGTCTATGAATAACCTGAGATGGTGAGTGACTATGGTGATGAACATGCAGAACGATCACCATCATATACACCTACAACACCTGCGAAGGAGCCTGAGCTCATTGACCTGGACGATGAAGACTTTGGCAACATGCCTCATGGTCCTCTTCGTGAAGATCGCAGATTTTCTACAACATCTTCAACGCCGATGATGGAAAACAAAGAGCCCTACCTGGACTCTCCTGAAGATGGTCTTCCTGATCCAGTTCCTGAACCTGAGTCCAAGCGTGCCCGCTATGATGGCGAGGACGACAAGGAAGACATGTATATGAAACACCTGCAGATCTTCAACCAGATCGACAGTGGCTATTTGATGGACATCGAGCTGGACCTTGCTTCAAATCGCCAAAAGAAGGCCTTTCAGAGAAACCCGAGCCTCTACCTGGCGAAGAAACTGGCTGGTTCAGAGGTGTGTTTTCGTCGCTTGAGTGCCAACGAGAAGGAGTTGTTCAAGCGAGCAATGAACTCCGAAGTTTCGAGCTTCATCAAGACAGAGGCAGTTCGCCGCTGTTTGAGCTTTGAAGAACAACAAGAAGCAAAGAGAAGTGGACGTGTTTTGAAATCAAGATGGGTATTGGTTTGGAAATCAGTGCCTGAGGAATCGCGTGCTGAAGCACTTGCTAACGCCAGGGAGAATGAGAACACAGTCCACAGCTCTGATGGCACTCGCAAAGCAAAGGCGAGGCTAGTCGTTTTGGGCTATCAACACCCTGACCTGTTGGATCCGTCTCTATAGCAACAACTGCACCAGTGCAATCGCAGTTGGTCCGCGACCTCTCCTTGTGTGTGGTGGCTCAACGCCGTTGGCAGTTGGAAGGGCTTGATATGTCCACTGCATTTTTGCAGACTGGCAAGACGGAGAAGGATCGCAGAATTTGGATGCAAGGGATACCTGAACTCAATCGTGCCCTTGGAGCTGAACCTCATGAAGCGGTTCGAATCCTCAAGAACGTCTATGGCAACGCCACAGCACCTCGAGGTTTATGGGAAGATGTGGACAAAACCTTCTGTGCCTTAGGAGCGAAACGCCTGATCGGCGACAGTTCTTTTTGGATTTGGACCAAGCCAAACCCAAATCCTCGAAATCAGTTTGACACTGAGCAGCTGATTGGTTTTGTCGGCGGACATGTTGACGATTTCAACAGAGCCGGAGATCTTCAAGATCCTGAGTGGCTTCGCATCAGAGAGGCCATTGACAAGAGCTACAAGTTGGGAACGGTGAAAATCAACCAGTACCGACACACTGGTTTGGACATCAACGTCAAGACCCAGGGCAATGACTTTCTGGTCGAGGTGGATCAGAACTACTACGTGGAAGGCCTCATGGACCTGACCATTGCCCCGGAGCGTTTGAAGCGCACCGACAACCCACAGCCCACAGCTCACTCCTGATGAAGTGAGTGCTTGCCGAGCCGGACTTGGAGCAGTCCAATGGGCTGCAACTCAAACACAAGTTCAAGCCTGTGCGCGAGCCAATCTGCTTCTTTCGCAGATCACAAGCAACCATGACATGAACACGGCCAAGGAGATCCAAGAACTCATTAGAGAAGTTCGTTCCAATCCAGTTAGCTTGAAGTTTTGGAATCATCCTGAACTTGAACATTGGCAAGATGTTACAATTGTCACGCTTGCTGATCAAGCCCACGCCAATCGACCTAGCGGTGATTCTACAGGCGGTTTGCTGACACTTTTGGGTGGTCCTGCACACCGTGAAGGAGCAGCTGGACGTCTATCCATTGTTGGATGGAGAACTTGGAAGCTGAAGCGCAAAGCCATCAGCACAAATGATGGTGAAGTTCAGTCTATGTTGGAAGGTGAGGACGCGAACTTTAGAACGAGATTCATGTGGTGCCAACTCAATGGTGCACCCATTGGTGATGATGTCCTCAACAGCGCCAACAACATGGTCAAGACCATCTATGGCATCGTTGGAACAGATAGTAAGGGTGGCTTTGATGCTGTCACTCGATCTGAAGGACCGATGCTTGGTCTCACGAATGCCCGCAGTGCTCTGCAGGCTTACCAACTTCGTGAACAACTTGAACATGGTGGAGCAAAGCTCATTTGGCTTGCTGGTGATTGGAACCTGAGAGATGCTTTGACGAAGAAGCCTCAGGTGGCCCGTCAGAGCTTACTGCAGTTTCTTCGCAACTTTGTCTGGCGACTTCACTATGACCCGAAGTTTGTCACCAGTGAGAAGAAGGCGAAACAACAAGGACGTGGAGCACTTCAGCAAATGAGAGATCTCCAGTGTTTGCAACCTTTTTCCCATGTCACAACCTTTTGAGCCAAGAAAAGAATTTGGCTGATGCGAAAGACATGACAGGTTGCCTCATAGGTTGTGTTTCATGTTTGAGACGTTGCTGCACGACCGCAGCGCTTGAGCCTGGGCAGTAAAACGAGCCTTCGTGTCTTGTGTGACTTAGGGAGTCACTTCTCATTTGACGCCATTGGGATTGGCGAACTACTTTCATCCTTTTTCCTGTTCTACCTCAACAACATCCCATTGGGGGATAGGCCTGTTTGGTGGTGGTCGGAATTGGTGAACCTCCCTGCTTCCGCAGTTTTCCATAGAATCCATCATCAAGTAGTACTTCATAGGGTGGGAGATCTCGAAGTCTTGAATCACCAAAGATGAGGCTATTGTCCACATAGCGAATGTGACGAATGAAAAGGTGATGGTTGTTGAGGATTTGTTTGAAATTAATGGACCATATCTGTTCGCTGATGGAGACCACCATGAGGCAAAGTGCTGGAGACAGTGGACTGCACATATAGGGCTGCCTCTACATTGTCGGATACATCTTTGGCCCAGTGCAAACGTCTGCATTTTCAAAGTTGACTTCAGCAAATCAGGTACATCCTTGATGGTTTTTCTTCCTGGTGACGTTGAGTCGACGGAAGGTACGGCCCTTGATGAGGTCTCCTGGATTGTTGGCTTTCCCTGGATATACCGAGAAGACTTCATTGTCAGATACATCCATATTTGGACGAAGGAAATCCAGAAGCATGAACCATGCACCGATGAAGCTGGTAAAGAAGACAGCAAGATCTTGGTTGACAAGAATGAGGTCAGCATATTTGAGAATGGAGAGAAGAGTGTACACGTCTCCAGACGCAAAGTGTTGGGGACATGCCACAGGAATGAGTTGAAAGATCATCCTGGCTAGGATGTTCAGCATTGGTCGGAAAGGGGACTCGACAAAGGAAATGATGGGTCTGCCACTTTGAAAATCCTTCTTCTTCTTTGCCAAAATGTAGCCCGCGGGCAGTTGTCGCCCACTTCCAACAGCCCAAGGATAGGCTTTGCCATGTTGTCGATGTAAAGAGTGGACAAGGGATGTGACGATGGAATCAGGGTCTTGTGAAACCGGTTCGAAGATGGATGGGTCTTGAAATGTTCTTTCAATTGCTTGATAGCACAAGCAAGGGCAGTAAATTCGCAGCGAAGAGGAATGTTTGTCTTCGCAGTGGAAGATTGCGCCTTCAAAGGTTTTTTGAAATGCATTGATGGATGATTTGGTAATGTGACATGTGACATGTTTGGAGTGTTCTGTCCAGAGGTGTTGACTGAAATCGGTTATGTCAGAGTTTGACATGGAGGGGAGTCCATTTCGCTTTGTCCAAAATTGGAAGCCCAGTTTGAGCTGATTATGGTATTCCTTTTTGGAAGGAAATACCTTGTTCAGCAGAGATTCTTCGGCTATGACGGCCATGTCATCTGGCAAAATTGAGTGGAGAAGAAAACCTGCGAGCACCCCGTGGGGAGCTGATGGAATTAGGGCGGCTGACTTGAAATGTTCCCAGTTCTTGCAACAACACGTAGCTGGTTGGCCAGTTGACCAGTCCGCAATGGCCTGTTTGTGGTTGCACAGTTGGTCCAAGACTGATGAATGTTTGATGAACACCATTTTGAAGGATGGTGTGTGGCATGGGACTTGGTATGCAAGGATGCCACTTCCGAAGGAACTGTTTTAGTTTTTGTTGGAGGTTTGGAGTCAGGGACCATGGGGCACGGAGTGCCGTAGCTCTGGGTGCAGGTATCCCTTTCCACCATTTGATGGAATTCTCGATTCCCTGAAGGGATAGAGTGCGAAATGGCTCTTGGATGTGGTTTGCTAGGCGACGAAGAGCATAGCAAAGGGTAAGACCTCCTTCGTTGGATCGTAGCATCTTTGTTTGTTCAAATCTGGCTATCGTATTCGACCCCAACGCATGGATGATGGTCCACAGTTCCAGACGGTTTTGAAACCGTTCTGAGGTCAGGATCTGGCGAACGACTGCTGGAGTGAATCTGTGTTTGGCCCGATGCCAGAGTGTAGCCAAGCCAAATTGAGTGTTGGTGTTCAAGGCAGGTTTTTTAAGAATGACTTTCTTGGGATGGAAGAATTGGCAAATGAAAGGGTAGTTGAGTCTGGGTTGCCATTCTTGGATGATGGCCATTTCTAGACTGCGATAGTCTGCCCTTTCAGTGTATATTGGGATGGGAGCCCAAATATACAGGTTGTCATGTTCCCGTCAATATCATAGTGCCAGTTCATTGTACAAGTCTGTCATTTGTGATTTGAAGGTACTTCCTTGAGCGGCTGTACTCCCTGTCAAGGGTGTGGTGCATAGCTGAGCCAATGTAGAACTTGGGCTGCATGTTCACAATGTGGGTGAAACGGATGTAGACACTTTGAGACTGGAAAAATGGTTTGGAAAACAAGTTGTGGGCATGAAGTGTCGAGCCCCACAAATGTGTGAGGTCGGTGCATCCTTCCAAAATTGACTTCAGTTTCTGGTTTGGTCGGAGACCATGGATTACGGCAAGCACCATCATTCGAGTCTGGCTGATGCGAAAGCCTTGAAAAAGGTGAACGCCGTAAGTCATAGTGAAGGGCGTTAAAAAGTAAAGATGATCAGAATCATCGAATGAAGAATTTGAAGATGGGATTGAAGCACTTTGTGCTTGAGCTTTCTGCGAAGCATGGGAGCTAGTCAATTGGTAAGGCTGATGGCCGCTGTCATTGCCCGCAAAAGGTTGTGCACATCATAGTTCTTGCCCAAAACTCCTTAGCTGCCCATTCTGGAAAGATGTCGCTTTTGGCGACCTCTCGGCCAAGGTAGAAAGCTCCAAAGGTGGGCACGTCACAACGGCTAGGGTCCTTATGATATGACCAGTTAGCCGGTCTGATTTTGCCTTCCAGCAAGATGCTCTGAGCAGTTTCAATTGGTGTGCCATGGAGCAAGGCCCAGGTGTGATTCTGGTTTCCTTTGAACGGAGGTGGCATGGTGAATCGAGAGATCTCAGGAAGTGGGAGGATCAATGCCAGCATACTGGTCGATGGCTAATCCAGAATCGATGCTTGTTCCAACTCAAAAGAGGAGAGAAGGTTGGTACTGGAGATCAAGAAGACCGCTTTCTTGGCAACCTCCTCAGGAATTCTTGAATCGACTCGTTGCAGAGTGGTCACTGCTCGTTGGAACTCGATGTTCACTGTCCGGCTTGGTTGTGGTTGTTCATCGTATGGAATCTCTGATGCTGCTTTCATTCGTTGATTGTGATGTAGACCGAACTTCACAGCTCGTTTCCACTCTGCTTTATGGTCAGCACGTAGATTGATGAGCATATGGCCAGTGGGTACATTCACGGAGATTTGAGACTTGTCATCTCCTGACGTGGCACGCTGGCGTTGCTTGTGACGTGGAGGAGCAGTCACTGATGAAGAGAACGCTGTAAGTGGCTTGGATGTG